TATCTAAGAAGACGGACTTAGCATTTGTAGATATGGGGGCTCTAAAAGATTCTATATGCATAAGAGAGGAGAAATTTTGCTCCGGAAGACCTGAGATTCTACCTCCATCAGCTTTAAGCCGGCTTTACCGGCCACCTCTGTCGCCAGGAATCTGGAATGCTGGCTTACCCAGTTAGACTCATCTCTTGGCGGGGACTTCCAGGCAGCAAATACTAAAATCCTTTCCTTTGCTGTTTAGAGTGGTATGTTTCCTTGCTGATACCTTGGCCAAATCCGTTAAACTAGCCGCAAGAACGTCTGCCCTGGTGAATTCAGCTAGAAGGCCATTATGGTTGAAGACCTGGACAGGGAACTCCGTGTTCAAGGGGGGAATCTTATTCAATCCTCCTCATGGCCCCACCAAGTCTCAATGACTCAAGCATCCCGGTGGGAGGAAGACTGGGGACCTTTCTCCCTCAGTGAGCTTCAATCTCCTCGAACCCATACATTAAGGACTTGGTAGGAAAGGCGTTGGAGTTCAACTCCCCCCCCCCCCCCCCCAGTCAGAGCCTGTGCCTTCTCCTGATTCCTGGAAAGGTTGGTTACCAGATACCTATGTGGCCTGATTGGAGACCTGGTGGATCAACTGGTCCTTACTCGGGTTCCCCGGAACGATCAGGGGATGGGATTTTGTTTCTATGTTTTTGCGGTGAAAAAGCCCTCAGGCAAGTTTCACCTTATCTTAATCCTGCGCCCTCTCAATCAGTCTTTTAACATACAAACACTTCAGGATGGAATCTATCTTCTCTGTAAAAAAAAAAAAAACATCCTTTACCCAGATTGTTTCATGGCTATGCTGGACCTGAGGGATGCGTATCTTCACATCTCCATACATCATGCATGTCAGAAATACCCAAGGATAGCGGTAAGGATTGGTACAGTGATCCACCACTGGCAGTGTTGGGCTCTACCTTTCGGTCTGGCCTCAGCACCTGGAATTAAGTACTTGCGGAGGCCTTGGCCCTCCCTAAGAATAAGATCTATTATGATCATTCCCTGTCTGGACAATCTCTTCTTTGTGCCCAAGTCTCACCAACAGTTGGCAGGGGATCTGCGGGTTGCACAGGACTTCTTTCAGAGTCTGGGGTGGCTCATAAACAGAGACAAGTCACGTTTAACTCCTTCCCAGAGAGTTACCTATCCGGGGTACAAGATTTCCTCAGTAGAGAGGAAGATCTTCCTTCCACAGGAAAAAATTCTCAGGATAGACCAGGTGTTGGCAGAGCTGCAAAACAGTTTGGTCATTTCAATAAGGGATAACATGAGGGCAGTAGGTCTCGTTGCATCATGCTTCCCGGCTGTTCCCTGGGTGAGATTCCACCAGTGCCCACTGCAGTCTTTTCTTCTGAGGGTTTGGAACGGGGACAGGTCTGTACTGGATCTTCCAGTCCATCTCCCTTCCAGGATGAAGAGATCCCTTTGGTGGTGGTGAAGTCAGTACTATCTAGGTAGGGATCTGGAATGGACCGCACCATATCCAGTTATACAGGTTTTATATAGCGCCAACAGTTTGCGCAGCACTTTACAAAATGAAGGTAGACATTACAGTTGCAATACAATTTGGTACAAGAGGAAACAGAGGGTCCTGCTTGTTAGAGCTTACAATCTAGGGGGAAGGGTTGAGTGATACAAAAGGTAATAGTTGTGGGGAGGATAAGCTGATGGAGGAAATAAATTGTGGTTTACTAGGTAGAAGCAGGATAGACTCCTTTTTAAAGAGAGGTTTTCAGGGATCGTCTAAAGGTGGATAGATTCGGAGACAGCCGGAGAGGTTGGGGTAGAGAGTTCCGTAGGATGGGAGAAGTCCTGGAGGCGCGCATGGGAGGAGGTGACACGGGAACTAGAGAGCAGAAGGTCTTGGGAGGATCATGACCGATGCCAACGGCTTTGGATGGGGAGCCCATTTAGGTGACAGAGCAGCCCAGGGCTCGTGGTCCTTGCGGTAAGTTCGGAGGGCCTCAAATCAGAGGGAGCTTCTAGCAGTCCAGCGAGCGCTGGATGCCTTTCAAGCAGATCTAATAGACTGTCACCTGCAGATCTGTTCAGACAAATTGACTACAGTGGCATACATCAACAAGCAGGGGGGTACAAGAAGCCCTCCTCTCCACTGAACCGCAGACAGCATATGGTCTTGGGCCAAGCAAAACTTGTGTTCAATATCTGCGATCCATCTGAAAGGAATGCCCTAGCGGGCTTCCTAAGTCGGTATCCAGTATAGCATGATGAATGGTCTCTCAACCACGAAGTGTCTGCGACCATCACTATGAAATGGGGCATGCCGAAGGCAGATCTCTTTGATTCCCAGGAAACAAGGAAGGTCAGCCAGTTCTTCTCCCTAAATCTGCAGGATCAGGCCTTGGGTATAGATGCCCTCGCAAATGTGTGGGAATTCAGTCTCTGTTATGCATTTCCTTCAGTGAGGCTGATCCCAGCAGTCCTGCAAAAAAAATTTGTCAAAAGACACACCTCATTCCGGTGGCCTCTTTTTGGCCAAAGAGACCATGGTTCTCTCTGCTGTGGAGCCTTTCCTCAGTTCCCCCATTCCCTCTTACAGAGAGGGAAGATCTGGTCTCGCAGAGTCCAGTGCTGCACCCTCAGGTGAAGACTTTTGAAGTTGGCAGCGTGGCTTCTGAAGAACAGCTCCTGAAAGCTCAGGGGTTTTCGGACAGAGTAGTGAGGACTTTGGTGAACTACTTCAAGCCAGAAACCAGAGCTATTTATACTAAGGTCTGGAAAAGATTCAACTTCTCTGTTTGTCGGATCATGGTCTGAGCCCTCCAGATATCCCGGCCGTCTTAGATTTCTTCCAGAATGGGGCAGACCAGGGCCTTTCAGTTAGTACTTTAAAGGTACAGGCCTCGGCCCTTTAGTGTTTTTCTTTAAGGTCCTCCTCCAGCAAGATCCTTTTTTTTCTAGCGGATTTTTTCAGGGCCCTTTCCCCAAGTCCAGGCCAGCAGTGGTCAGGTCCTGTTCAGTTTGGGATCTGTCTTTAGTCTTAAAAAGCTTTGGTCCTTTCTCCCTTTTGAACTTCTGGAGAAGTCTTCAATAAAGTTTTTAACTCTAAAAACTATTTTTGGTAGCAATCACATCGGCCCGTAGGGTCAGTGAATTGCAGGTGCTTTCCATTAGGTCATTCCCTTTTGGTCAGTTTTTGTGGTTAGAAATGTTCTCAAGATGGATTCTGGGTTCCTTCCCAAAGTTTCCTCCTCCTTTTATAGGTCCCAGGATATAATTTTGCCGACCTTCTATTTTGCTCCTTCAAGGATGAGGAAAGATTGTTAGGCCAAAAGGCTCCTTCTAACATCTATCTTAGTAGGTCCAGAGAATTCAGAAAATCAGATTATCTTTTTGTTCTTTTCGTGGGAGCGTGGAAAGGTTTCAGTGCTTCCAAATCCACCATAGCTGGATGGATATCGCGCAGTAGTATAACTTATTAGAGATTCTTCTTCCATTTGTTAATGCACACTCAACCAGATCCTTGTCCGCATCCTGGGCAGAGAAAGCTGGTGCTTTGCCAGAACAGATCTGTACTTCATGAAACATTTTTGCCTGGACCTGCTTTCTAGTGAGGATCAGGCGTTTTGGTCACAAAGTCCTCCAGGTAGTAGTCCCACCCTAGTGGGCAAGTTCTTGATTATCGTCTCAAGGGGCTGTCCTGGAAGACATTTTTGAGAAAACATACTTACCTGTAACTCCTTTTCTGTAAGTCTTCCAGGACAGCCGGGATTTCCCACCCTAAGTATTGTACGACAATGTATGTTTATGCATAAGTGGTTATGTTTTTTAATGCCTTCCTGTTGTTCTTGAGAAGACTGAAGAGGGAGGCCTGGAGGTCCACCTTTTTAAGGTTCTGGGCTTGCGTGTTTCCTGTACCGTCAGGAGGAGCTCTACGTCTCAAGGGGCTGTCCCGGAAGATTTATTGAAAATGAGTTTCCTGGTAAGTCTAACTTGGTCTTTGCGTTTTCGCTGGCAATTGTAAGGCTTGACATGTTTGCTATCAATTTATTTGACACAACCCAATCTTTTAAATTGTACCAATAATTGGCTATAATATAATATTGTGTTTCTTTTGCACTAAAATTCATTTTAGTGTATTTTTTCTAGAAAACATGAGCTTCATAAATAGCTGCACCAATATTGTGCTACATTAAAAATTTCAACTACTACTATTTTATTCTGCAGGGTCTGTTTTCAGAAAATATGATTGGAGCTCATTTCTAGTCACTGTCACCTTTTTTTTTTTTTTTTTTTTTTTTTTTTTTTTTTTTTTTTTTTTTTATTTGCTCAACATAAAAGGCTTTTAAAATCCACCACTGAGGATGCATACAAACAACATATATTGACTGCTGTATTTATACAGTATGTTTTAAACATTCAAAAGAAAAAACTAGTAATAGTTGGATCCTATATTGCTCTTTATACACCAGGTATAGTAATAGTTTAATATTGTATATATTGATCACCACAATATTGATTTGCCATCTGTTTCAATGAACTTATAAATCAAGTTCTTTTTGATCAGTGGGTGTTGAGAGTTTTCAGTCTCTCCTTGGGGTGTCCCTGCCATCCTAGGGTGGAGGACGCTGGGAGTTGTCACTGAACTGACATGTACAGGTGTGGGAAATGAGTAACAGTGTAAGGCAGGGCGCAGTATTACAAATCACTGAATACTGAATACCTACCTAATGACATTGTGACATTGGCAATCTCTCACTGTGATCAATTTGGGGGGGGACAATTGTACTGGAAAAAAAATGAATCGTAATATTTATACTGACTTGGCGTAGGATTCAGCAGCAATGCTGGTTAGCACTGTACATGACTCATTTCCATTGTGCAGTAAAGTGTCACACCTCACTCTCTCACATCTATCTATCTAAGCACTTTTACAAGTTATACAGGCAATTTAATGTAATCACTTTATATATTTAGCTCTTACGTGTGTTTTTGTATATATCCAGAAGCTAGTGCTGACCAGCAGTGCCAGTGTTGTCTTTGAAGGCAAGGACATAAAGAATGGGTCAGAGGATTTGCCGTATGCCAAGAAACCCATCGACTATTACACTGAGACCAAGATCCTTCAAGAGAAGGTGAGTGTTTATGCAAATGCATGGTTATTGCATGTTCATTTCCTGCCTAAAATGAACAGTAAGCAAGGTTCTATCTCATGCAGTTTGTGTTCTTTAATGCTGAACCCCAGGCCAGTGCAACAGACACAAATTAAAGGAGAAGTATGGCCAAAGCTATTTTGACCCTACTTTTATGTATCACAGGAGTGCAGTTCAGTATACACTCTTGTGACTCATATTCAGCTGACCATGGGCTAAAGTCTAGGAAGTTGCCTGGACTGGTAGCTGGTTCAGCCTTTCAGCGAGCCTTGAGAGGCTGAGCCAGTTGCTCCTGCCCCTTCAACAGCCCAGCACTTCACTGAGCGCTGGAGCAGCAGAGCAGAACAGAGTGCATTTTATTACATACCATATACTAAAAACAGTCTTTGAAAAAATAATGTAATTGCGCCAATGAAATTAAAGGATCCATGTAATGAATGCATATTAATAATGCTTGATATTGATAATTAACTTGTGGTTTTTGTTTTTTAGGAAGTTCTGGCTGCAAATGATCCATCAAATAACTTCTTGACTGTGGCTATTCGACCTCATGGTATATTTGGCCCAAGAGACCCCCAGCTTGTTCCAATAATGGTGGAAACTGCAAAAAGTGGCAAAATGAAAATTATGATTGGGTAAGCTGGGATATGGGTTTGACACTGGCTTCATATCAAGTAAGAGCTCTGCACTAATTACATCTATGCTGCTCACCAAACCCTAATATAGCTACAGACAAACATCATCCCTTTCCATGAAGGAAAATCATTTACTAATCTGGAGAACTTAATTACAAATAATTAGGAGCTGTGTAGACTGCTCCTCAATACCATTGCTGCAGTGGTGCAATTTTAGTAGAGTAGAGGAAGGCTAGAACCCCTGTCGTCCTTTTTACAGCAAATGGCCACATCATTCACAGCAATCTGTGAATGAATGAACTATAGCTACCATTTGCCACCACAGCAGATGGCTTGTAGTTCTTAATGAAGTGCAAGAGTGCTGGTCAGCGCTCTTGTAGTTCATTGGTCTTCCTGCTCTTTAGTAACTCTCTGCCTGTATGGGAGGTACGGGAAGACAGCTATGCTGAGATTCTGCAGGATCCTGGGTGGATCTGCTGATTGTCGGTGCAATGTTCTGCAGACTGCGGGGGGGGGGGGGGGAATAATAGATACACAATTTTTTTTACCTGCAACAAAATGTGTATTTATTTTTTTTTAAAAAGGTGAACTTGGCTTTTAAAGTTCACTAAAACATGCAGTTAGTATTTAAAATGTTACTAAACCCACAACCGTAAAATCAGTCTGTATATGCAGTAAAGCATGCTTGATATACTCATTGTGGAACCTAAGGGGTTTATCCTCTGCATTGTGTAAAAATGCTGTTTGGTCCTGACTTCTCTGATCCTCCCCTTCTTCCAGGGTCCCCCTCTTATCTCCTGATAAGACATATCATGTGGAGCCACTCTGCACATGCTCTGTTTTTGTGTATTGCTAGAAAGGGTTTTTTTTTGTTTTTTTTTTTCTTGAGAGAGTGGTGTGCGTGATCAGCACAGGGCCAATCAATAATGTCCAGACAGAGTTTAAGGGTTCTGCATCCTCCTGGACATTGAAAGAAGTCACAAGATTACTCCAACTGCTGATGGAAAAATGTATTTAGCAGTTTATATTTACTAAAATAATTGCATTTCCATGTAGTGTATACTGTGGGAGACCAGATAGAGTGAATGCAGGGTCATGAGTTTAGTAACACTTTAATACTTAGCCAGCTTCCATACAAAAGATGGTATTTGCTTGTATTCATCCTATAAGGTTACATTCACACAAGATTTGTGTTTAAATTATTAAAACACAAAGAAATTACGTTTATAAACGTCTCAGATCATGTTCCCTGCATTTAAAAGTACGTATTTACACATGTTCAGAGTATCTAATCTGCCCCTGGATGCACAGTTTTTTGTTTTGTCTAAACACAAGTAATCTGAATGCATCTAAATGCACAATATTAATTTATGCTGTATGTCATTGCCTGTATAAATAAGGACTAAACCAGTGGTTATGGATGTTCAGTTTGCTCCAGAGCCATGAGGAATATATTTCATGTCCCCATTTTTTAATTCTTTTAACCATTAGTAAGTTAGAGAGTTGCACATGCCAACTTGTGTATTCACAAAGAAAACCTTGTTTATTGCTGCTATTTTTTTTTTCCAGGAATGGGCAGAATTTGGTGGATTTTACATATGTGGAAAATGTAGTACATGGTCATATTCTGGCAGCAGAATATCTACAAAAAGACTCTCCTTTATGTGGAAAGGTAAGTATTGCAGTACTCGCTTATTGCATTCATTTTTGTATGTTTTTTACTTTTCAATCTATTATTAACATAGAACTCCAGCCAAAAAGTCTGTAAGGGCTTCGTTGTTGTCCCAGTGGGGAATTTTTTTCATTCATTTCCTGTAGTGTTCGTTAAACAGTGAAAAGAAAAGCACTCCAAATAGTACAGTAAGAAAGGGTTATAACCTCTTCCAATTGTTTTTCTCTGTCTATGTGCATTGCCAAGACTATGGGCAATAAAGTATTATTTTTTAATATAATCTTTATAAAAATGTATTAAATTTTTTAACAAGTAGTAAAAAGCTTTACAACAACCCACCCAGATCTCTCTAGCTGCTTGTACTGTCAAGAAATTGATCCTCAAAGATCACAAGAGAAACTCTGTTTTTTGTCCATTTCTGACAGGCTGCTAAGATTCTTCTCTTCATAGAAAGTAAAGTTGTGATTTTTATCCTTCTGTTATGAAGTTTGAAGATGAATTTCTCAAAAGTGCTTATAGCTATAGAGGTGAATGGGTTTTGTTTAAAGCACTTTTCTGACTTTTTCAAATATGTGATCAGTGTAATTTGTGTGCATTGTTGAGCACAGGCTCAATTTTATCCAAAAGAGTTGTGACTGATGTACCACTGTTAATCTTGGTATAGTTTTTTTTTTTTTTTTCCCTTTTTTTTTTGACTAGCTTTGTCTCCACTCTTCATATACAGTGGCGAAAAATAATTATTTGATCCCTGCATATTTTATAAGTTTGCCCACTAAGGGTCTATAATGTTTATCATTGGTGTATTTTAAATGCTAGAGACAGAATATCAACCAACAATCCAGAAAAAAAAAAACTATACAAATGTTGTAAATTGACTTGCAGTTTAGTGAGTAAAATAAGTTTTTAATCCCCTACCAAGCAACAATAATTCTGGCTCCCACAGACTGTCTATGTGCTCATGTGTTACACAGATTAATCCTGTCAATTTAAGAAGGTGCTCCTAATGACAACTCGTTATGTGTATAAAAGACATCTGTCCACAGAATCTTTCTTCCATTCAAACCTCACTATCATGGGCAAGACCAAAGAGCTGTCAAAGGATGTCAGGAACAAGATTTGTAGACCTGCACAAGGCTGGAATGGGCTACAAGACCATCAGCAAGAAGCTTGGTGACGATGATCATGAGAAGAGTGTGGGATCAGCCCAGAACTACAAAGGAGGAGCTTGTCAATGATCTCAAGGCATTTGGGACCACAGTCACCAAACAAACCATTGGTAACACAATACGCCACCATGGATTGAAATTCTTCAGCACCCGCAAGGTCCCCCTCCTCAAGAAGGCACATGTACAGGCCTGTCTGAAGTTTGCCAATGAATATCTAAATGATTCAGAGAAGGTTTGGGAGAAAGTGCTGTGGTCAGATGAGACCAAAATTGAGCTCTTTGCCATTAACGCGACTCACCGTATTTGGAGGAAGAAAAATGCTGACTATGACCCTCATAACACCATTCCTACAGGTGAAGGTGGAAACCTTATGCTTTGGAGCTGTTTTTCTCTGCTAAAAGTACAGGCCGACTTTGCCGCATTGATGGGCCAATGGATGGGGCCATGTATTGTAAAATTGTGGATGAGAACCTTCTTCCCTCAGCCAGAACACTGAAGATGGGTCTTCTAGCATGACAATGACCTAAAACATACCACCAAGGCAACAAAGGAGTGGCTGAATAAGAAGCACATTAAGGTCATGGAGTGACCTAGCCAGTCTCCAGACATTAATTCTATAGAAAATTTATGGAGGGAGCTGAAACTTTGATTTGCCAAGTGACAGCCAAGAAACCTTTAAGGATTTAGAGAAGATCTGTAAAGGAGTGGACCAAAATCCCTTGAGGTGTGCAAACTTGGTAACTACAAGAGACATCTTACCTCTGTGATTGCCACAAGGGTTTCTCCACCAAGTTCTAAGTGATGTTTTGTTTGGGGATCAAATAATTATTTTACTCACTGAACTGCAACTCCATTTATAACATTTATATCATGAGTTTTATCTGGACTTTTGGTTGATATCCTGTCGCTATCAGTTAAAATACACCTGTGATAAGTATTCTAGACCCTTCATTTCTTTGTAACTGTGCAAACTTACAAAATCTGCAGGGGATCAAATAATGTTCCCCAAATGCAACTGTAAAAAAGAAAATTAAAATCTACAGCATGATAATGAAGATGTTTAGATTCAGCCTCCCAGCCTCCGAGATATTCCGATACTTGCAGCTACAACACTTTTACGCTCCCTATACCACAATAACCAATCGGCCAGACACCATGTCTTTCTTTGAACAAGCATGCTACAAAGACCCTCATAGACGTTTGCTTATTTCCTGCTTATATTCACTCCTCACCACTTCGATTACCACGTCCCCCCCTCTGTATACCCATAAGTGGGAAGCGGATATGGGAAAGAAATTTGACCCGTCTGAATGGGACCGCATTTGGGCCAACACCAAATCATCCTCACAGAACATTGTAGCATTGGAAACAGATTATAAAGTCTTAACCCGATGGTACTTAGTCCCGGCGAGAATCGCAAAATTTACCCCTAATTACTCACCCAACTGTTTTAGAGGCTGTACGGACCCAGGAACGCATTACCATATGTGGTGGGACTGTCCAATAGCCCGAACCTTTTGGGGTGAAATCTTCACAATGATATCTACACTTAGCACGATCACCCTACAACCCGACCCAACAATAGCCCTACTCAATCAATGCCCCCCTGGCATCTCTAATTCGCAATTTAAGCTCATTATGCAAGTTACGATGGCGGCTAAGCAGGTTATAGCAAAATCTTGGAAATCCACCACCTTGAGTATCGCGGCCGTCAAAAGCAGAATAACACAAGCCATGATACATGCAAAGGTGGAAGCCACAATTCTTGACATGATTCCTAAATTCTTGCGCATATGGAGCCCCTGGGTAGAGCGCTTCCTCCCCCCTAACTTTGACGAATCACTCCTTCTCCCCTGATTTGTATACTGTGCGCTTTGGATACAATCAATAGCCCTTTGTACGTAGCACGCAGGGGCTGATGTAAACCTGTTGAACGCTCATGGAGTCATGGTGGTTGTTCCACTTTCCCTCTCCCCCCTTTCACCCCGGTTTGACCCCCCCCCCCCTTCAAATTTCCCCCTATTTCTTTATTGCACTCGGGAGACATTACTTTGATTGGCTGGAACAATAATGTCCTTTATTGTCAACTTTCTTCTACCTGTTTATGCTAGTAGTATATAGACATATGTACTGTGCATTTTTTATGTCCTATTGCCACTTCCATGTCCATTGTACATTAGCAATGTCTCCTTGTTTGTTCCATTCTGCTTTATTGTTAATAAAATTGTTTGAACAAGATGTTTAGATTTAACATACGCCTAGGAAAACAAATTGCATTCGCCATCAGATATAGTACTATTTGATGTAAACTGTGAGGGGAATTTTACTGGAGCAGCTGTGAATGGCAACCAATCAGCTTTTTAGCCTTCATTATGAAATCTTAACTGAACAAGCTGAAGCTAGAAGCTAATTGGCTACTAAGCACAGCTGTTCCAGATTATGTTAGCTCTGGTTTTTAGTAAATTCGCCCCTATATGGTTTTTTGTTTTGTTTTTTTGTTCTTTCCTTTTTTTTTTTAAACTTTTTTTTTTTTTTTTTTTTTTTTCTTTTTTTTTTAGGCCTACCATATCACAAATGATGAGCCCCTCCCATTTTGGACATTCATTTCCCGCGTGCTGACTGGTCTGAATTACGACGCCCCCAAATACAAGATTCCTTATTGGCTAGCTTACTACCTTGCCTTGTTTTTGTCCTTTTTGGTGTTAATGCTTAGTCCAATCATCAAAATTAAACCAACGTTTACACCAATGAGGGTGGCGCTGGCTGGGACCTACCACTATTACAGCTGTGAGCGGGCCAAGAAAGACATGGCATACAAACCGGTTGTCAGTCTGGACCAAGCCATTGAGAGAACCGTTCAGAGTTATCCACATCTGAGAAGAGCAAGTTAGGCTTCGGTTACCCTCTGCCTTTGACATTTTGTAATTTAAGTCAACAGCATTTAGTTCTGCCTATTTTTTTTTTTTTTTTTTAATGGTCTCAAAATACATTTAGTCACACACTGTGAGCAGCATATGGAATCTTTTTTGTATCAAATATTCAGCCAGTCACCGAAATGAGGCTATCGGTGATCAAGTGCTAGGTAAGCATAATCTGCACAATTTGGTGTAGGGTTAAATCTGAGAGACAGAAACCAGGGTATTTGGTATATCACAGATATTAGAGCTTAAACAGACACTGTAAGCTTGCCCAGGCAGAATAGTGTCAGTGTTTGTGAAAATTGTCCCCCCAACCACCCACTTATACTTACCTTTCAAATGATCCACCACTTCCTCTTTTACAGCCACAACCAAAATACCCAATGCACCCAAGAGTATCGGCATTCTGAAGCAGTGATGTCACCCCCTCATTTATGTGACTGTAGTTGGGTCTAGTACTTGGCATCTGGGCCCTGGCACTGCATCATAGGAAGAGGTCACATGATCCCTCATAACCAGAAGCACCGGATACCTTGCAATGCCAACCGTAGAAGGTGCACTGGAGAGTGTGTTAAATGGTCCAGGGGGTTTACACAGACGCTGTTACTTTGCCCTGAATTGGCAAGGTGACAGTACCTCTTTAAAGGATGACAAAATAGAGAATGCTAGCTGCCTGGCTGTTACACTCATCTATCATCTTCCATACTTCCTGAGTCACTAACCTAAAACAAATGTGCAAGAGCTCTGACTTCAGTGGCTTCATTTATGTTCAGATCAGTGATTCAGCAAGTACTGAAGTCCAAGAATCAGCATGTTTCCCTCACCATAAGTCATCCTGAATGAAAGTTCCATCAGTTTCAGTTGCATTATATATAAACAGTGCACTGCGGCCTGTCATAAGATACAAAACCAAAAAGACTTGTTCAATATAGTTGATAAATCAGAAATAAAAAAATAGTTTTACCCCATATAGCACAGATTTTGCTCGGCTGTAAAAATTCAGATACATTTTAGGGTCCAGTGGAAATCATTGCTTTGTACCTCACCGCAGAGTCCCACCACCCTCCTGGTGTGAATGAAACCCTAATCTAGCATCAAAATATATTTTTGGCTACAGTCAAATATCGTACTAACTACAAGATTGCACTTTATTTCCAGTACAGTGATGGACATGATATATGGTCACAATATTAAAGTGGGAATAAACTCACCTCCACCTTCCCTCAATACTGTGGTCATATCCCTTGCTGGCCGTTGTCATCTTCTCCCCAGGTGCTGGGTTTTCGGCTTCTTGACTGGCTGACAGGGCTGACGTTATCCTACACATGCATATATGGGAGTCTGTCATTCTGGCACAGCCAGATTATGTTGGGCATGTGCAGTTTAGTGTACATTCAATAAAAAACTGCAAGCAGGCAGGTAAGTATATAATACTGCAGAAGAATACATAGCATATCTCTTCTGCAATGGGGAACTGCCTGCTCTCAGTTTTCTAAAAGCTAGGTTTAGTTCCGCTTTAATTGGGTCTTTTTTTTTTTTTCCCCAATCAAAACCACACATGCTTGCTGTGACAGAGTCACAGCAGGCTATTTAATCCGTATATGTCCACAATCTATATATTAACGTTCTCAGACACAGTTCCACAAGCCGTGAGAACCTGAATTACCATCCCTCTGAAAACTAGGAATGCCTTCTCTTATGGTTCCAGGTGACCCAATTACCGATGGGGATCCAATCCTCATGCTTCATTATCACATGATCATCACAGTGGTTTGTTTATGAACACACTTCCAACTAGAGCTGTAAGTAACAATGTAGTCACAATACTGTGGCTGAAAACTACAGATCTCTGGTTAGAATTAACCACTGCATACTAACACTGCTTAATTTGGATTGGGGCATGAAGGGCTTAAAAGCCCCTACTGCTTTATCAAGCATAAAATTAACTTGTATTTTGCACACCTTCATAAATTAGGATAAAAACAATTAAAAAAACCAAAGTGCTAGGATAAATAAAATCGAAGGCACCCCTTGTGGAATTCTTCTATTGATCTGGAAATTATTAGTCCTTTAATAAAAAGAGGTTGAACAGTGGGGCTGAGTCATGAAACATTCCTTTCACCACATGAGCATTCCACAGTACATATATAGACTTGCCTAATACAGTTAACTTGTCAGAAAAGCCATTTGAAGGTGTCAGTCTATAAAAATGTTCAATTACTTATATCAAACTGATATGAAGTTTCAAAAGGGAGAAGTGATCCCATACTGAGCACAGTACCAGGTTTGCTTAATAGAAACCTGCAATGAGAGAGCCATTGCTGACTTCTGAAAATTCCAATTGCCTGGCTCTCATTTGGTCTAATGTCTTTATTTTTTCAGTCAATGTGAAACAATGCAAATGTGATCTGCCTTCACTGGCAGCATGCTTGTTCAAGGTCTGTGCTTGTTACTCAGAAAGCATTTAATGTCCATCTATAGATCCTTGTTTGTCATCTGTGTAAAAATAAAGCATTATCAAGGCAAAACTGGGCAGACTGAACCCGAAAAAATTCAAACTGTACCTCCATCCATGCTAAACAGCGTGGGTGGTGAATCTCAACTGTTAGCTATTGTATGCAAACACCCACGACTGTGTGAATACCTGGACAGTGGCTGTATCTGATAGCATGCAGTCACTGGTCAGACTATAATTTTCAATAGGGCACCTACAATGTTTCACCCAAGTTTTGTATGGCAAACCTTAACTTGTTACTTTGCCTAGTATGGGAAAAGTTCACAATATGTGTAAATAATTCTTCATATCAATGTTGCTGCACCATCCCTTGACTGTTCATATTCAGTATTAGATTTCCTATTATACAGAACGTGACTACTGTTGTGTTACTTCACCATCCCTCAGCTGTATATGTTCATACTGATTAATGTTCTTAATTATTGTAAAGGAAACAATTGCTATTAAACAGTTTCTTGAATAAAAAATGCCACTGAAGTATTATTTAACCTCTTCCTGCCAACATATTGTATATCTGTGGCAACAGGATAGGTGGGCTTTAAATGCTCAGTAGCCACATAAATGGATCCACCAGGCTTAGGTCGCTGTTTGTGATCAGGAGCCAGCTTGACAAGCAGCTGCTCTTGGGAACGTTGTGATTGTCAATCAGCTTCCACTTCCCAGTGTTAACCCTCAGTTTTGGTGCCACCAAGGGTGGCAAGTTTTTTATGAGAACATTTGGACATACACTATATTGCCAAAAGTATTAGGACACCCCTCCAAATTATTGGATTCAGGTGTTCTAATCTCCTCCATGGCCACAGGTGTATAAAATCAAGCATCTAGGCATGCAGACTGCTTACAAAGGGTTGCTGTCAGGAGCTCAGTGAATTAAAGTGTGGTACCGTGATAGGTTGCTGTCTGCAAATAGGTCCATCCATGATATTTCCTTGATACTAAATATTCCACGGTCAACTGTTTGTGGTATTATAACAAAGTGGAAGCAACTGGGAACAACAGCAACTCAGGCCATTTAAGATGACAGAGCGGGGGCAGTGCATGCTAAAGCAGACGTTGACAGCTATCTGCAGAGTCAATAGCTAAAGACCTCCAAACTTCGTGTGTCCTTCAGATTAGCACAACAACAGTGCATAGAGAGCTTCATGGAATGGGTTTCCATGGTTGAGCAGCTGCATCCAAGCCTTACATCACCAAGTTTAATGCAAAGCGTCAGTTGCAGTGGTGTAAAGCATGCTGCCACTGGACTCTAGAGCACTAGAGACATGTTCTCTGGAGTGATGAATCGCGCTTCTCTGTCTGGCAATCCAATGGATGTGTCTGGGTTTGGCGACTGCCAGGAGTACACTACTTTACTGACTGCATTGTGCCAAGTGTAAAGTTTGGTGGAGGGGGGAATATGGTGTGGGGTTGTTTTTCAGGGGCTGGGCTTGGTCCCTCAGTTCCAGTGAAGGGATTTCTTAAGGAGTCAGCATACCAGGATATTTTGGACAATTTCATGCTCCCAACTTTGTGGGAACAGTTTGGGGATTGCCCCTTCCTGTTCCAACGTGACTGCGCACCAGTGCACAAAGCAAGGTCCATAAAGACATGGATGAGTGAGTTTGGGGTAGAGGAACTTGACTGGGCCTGCACAGAGTCCTAACCTCAACCCCGACAGATCACATTTGGGATGAATTAGAGTGGAGACTGCGAGCCAGGCCTTCTCGCCCAAAATTAGTGCCTGGCCTAACAAATGCACTTCTGGAAGAATGGTCAAACATTCCCACAGACACACTACTAAACCTTGTGGACAGCCTTCCCAGAAGAGTTGAAGCTGTTATAGCTGCAAAGGGTGGGCCAACTCCATATTGAACCCTATGGACTAAGACTGGGATGCCATTAAAGTTCATGTGTGTGTAAAGGCAGGTGTCCCAATACTTTTGGCAATATAGTGTATTTGCACAAGTCATTCTAAGAAAACACTTCTTTCTATGCTGATATACAGGGAAATTGTATCTTCTGAACCTGACTAAAGTGCCTTTTCAGAAGCTGATACATGCGTTGACTACTCGTAAGCGTTGCATGAGTACTTGCCTTTGTAGAAAATAAGGCCTCATGCATGCTAGGTGTTTGACTTTGTCCTGAATGCTTTTTATTCCTTCCAGGAAAAAGCTGCTTAAAAAATAGGCCTAAAACCACATATTGCACACGTTTAGGTGCATCAGGTGTTTGAGCATTTATGGATTGCACTGGTCAGAATATTAATTTATTCTGGCCTTTGGAATGTATGCTCAAGCGCTAAATGCACCCAGCGTTTAAATGCGTTTACGAATGCACTGCTTTTCCTGGCCAAAGACTCCTCTCCTGAATGTGCTGGTGATTATTTTTTTTTTTTACTGCCTGTAAATGCTCCTCTTCTATGTCTGTAAACACCTGTCTACACATGGACACATAGGCTATTGTGGAGGTGTGTTTACAG